TCTGTTATTGCCTTCAACTGCATAACAAAGAAGGCATAAAAAATTACTAGCAATTAGTACCTAACGCATTCTCTTATTAAGTAAATACCATTTAATACATTATGACAATAACACTCTTACAATTACTGGCAAAAAGATTACATTCATGTTCTTCTGAACATTTCATTTTTTTTCACCATTCATTTAGTAAATTTAACTACATATCATATCCAGACAGGAATTAGTTGAGATAAGAGTATTTTCGTCCATATTGATTTGGGCATGGTGTAAGTGTAACCAAAGTAATAATAGAAGAACAATCACTTCCTCATCAAATCATTTGACAATTAGATTTTGAAAATTTAATTTCTATTTCAATCAAATTGAATATAGTTCCACAAAGGATTTTACCAAAAGTATAACTAAAACACAAAAGTATCTGTCATATAACGTCCACTTGAGGACTCAATTTTAAGCTCATGACACTCCTAATGAGTCACTTCTAAGAACATCTTATATATTTGAAAAATCTAATGAATTCAAAATGGAATTCTTAATTGGGCTAAACCTGTTCCGTGAAGGACTTAACAAGTTCCTTGGCTACTTTGCATTTGGAAGATTGCCCTTCAGCAAATGAAGTAGCTGCTTTGGCATCTCTCCTTAGTTGTTGCATCTCTGCATCTTGAACATCACACTTCTGCTTCAGGCTTTTAACCTGGTCAAGAAATAAATAAACGCGTTATGTCGAAGACGCGAGTAGAAAGATGAGCTAAGAGTGATATCTGTAAAAGTTATAAAAATCAGTACTTGGCCATGCAACTTTGTTACTTCTTGAGTCAAGAGCTCATTTGACTTCTTGATATTGTCAATGACACTCTTGGAAAACACAGGAGTTGCTGAACGTGGAGGGCTTGGTTTCCTAGCGTACGGCGAAGATGTTCTAGAGTTGACGGAGGTATGAGGTGATGTTGTCATAACAGGCTTCAAAGCATTTTGAATAGCGCTCAGCGAGCTAGGAAATGCAATATGTTTTAGTTGTAAAAGGGATGGAACTTGGGAAGCCCTAACCATTGAGGAGTAATCAGATTTGGTTCCTGATCTTCCAAACCGGACTTCAAGGTACTTGACTGGTTCTGTAGTAGGATATAGCAGAACCCTTGAAGACCTTACCTCTACCCTACAGCTCAAAGCGTTGTATCCGGGGGCTTAGTAGGGCCCATTAAGATTCACCAAATACAAGGCACAAGGGCTTTTTTCTGGTTCACCACAGAAGGCAGGTTGTCTGCTAAGTCTATGGTCCGATTCCAACTAATTATATATAAAAATCATGGATCCTTGTCTACAGCCAACTCGATTGCATCGATCCTTCTCTATTCTAGGAGCACCCAATCCAGTCATTCTCTTGTAAAGTGGACGATTTCATCATAACAAAGAGACGAGGGGTTGTAACTTTCCTGTTATAATTAGAAGAATTATCATAACACACACTCTATGCGGTTTGCCGGGGGTTGGAGCCAATGCAGCCCTGAATGCCTTTCTTGAACTACAAGCATGGCAATGCACTAGCCCGCAGTTGTAACAGTTGTGCCTCTTTCGGGTAAAACCAAATGCTTGTCTACAACCTGAGCAGACTGATTGGTCAGCTCCAGAGACCCACTTGTGAATGCATATGCTTGTGGTGAAATTTGAGCCACAAGATATGTTCTTCACATGCCTGTCTTTCAATGCCTCGACCAAAGTTGGGGTTTTTTGATCTTCTATATCCCCATGTCCTAATCTTCCATTAGCGCCTTTTCCCCAGGTGAATACTTCACTTCTTGAAGTCAGGACATCAACATGATTTGCCCCACAGGATATTTCTTCAACAAATTCACCCACCAATTTATCTTGTACCAAGCAAGGTGTCTTTCCATCAGAGCTTGGATTCCCTAGCTGACCGTATGAAGTACCGCCCATGGTGAACACATGACCTGATGTAGTGAGGGCAACAGTCATAGTGCGTCCACACCCTAGTTGCTGGAAGTTGTAATCAATAAGTGAAGAGACGCATGTTGGAAGAAGATAAGTTTCCTTGTTTCCATGACCCAAACGATTTTTATCGCCATTGCCCCAAGTGAAGAGCTTTCTAGATGAGATACTACTACCAGCCTGACCTGCAACCTCTACAATTGCCGCAGTGTGCCACACTCCACATGCAACTTTTATGGTCTTTAGGCCACTCAACAACTGTACCTCCCTTGGATAAGAAACACTTTGGCGATCCCCGTGGCCCAAAACACTGAAGGTTCCATCACAAAAAGGGAAAAGTTTCCCATTGGAAGTTGATAATGCTGAATGCCAAGTGCCACATGCAACAGACAGAACCTGAAGTCCTTCCAAAGGACCATTAACCCTTTTAGGGATCTAGTGACTAACATCAGTGCCATGACCAAGAAGTCCAGCATTGTGGGCACCATCACCCCAAGTGAAGAAGTCACCAGTTGTGGATACAACACATGAATGATACTCACCACATGCAACAAAACCAACATTATTGATTGCGAGAAACTCGACGAGGCGAGGGCGACTAAAGTCCTTATCAATGCCATGGCCAAGTCTTCCCCCAGACTCCTCACCCCAGGTGAAAACCTTACCTTGCCTTGTCACAAGCGCCACATGTCTTACACCACAAGAAATCTGATGCACGTCGAGAACAACATTCAATTCTAGTGGCCTTGGGGTAAGCACATCAGTTTTTATAGGAACTGGGCTCATAGACCCATCAGGTAAGGTTCCATCAAGCGAAACTTCTCCCCAAAGATAAACATCTCCTAGTGATTCTATATCATCCGGTCCAGATCCTCCACTTGAACAGCTAGGAGTACTTGAAACACTAATCCGAAAACCATCTCCAGGATTTGTTCTTAGTTGCATACTTGCGCATTCTGAAGCCAGATCTGAGCCCACAAGATTCAATGGAGATTCGCGAGAAGAATTTAAATCAATAGACACTCTACCATGTGCAATACAAGTGAAATCGAAGGATACTCTTAAGGGACTGCCATTTTGAATAATGTCACTGCCATCTTGTTGCTGAAAATAAAAGAAACAACTACATTAGATGTTCCAAAAACTCTCTTCTTGTGGACAAAGGAGCTAGAAGAAGTAGGAAAATCTGTATTAAATTTGAAACTCACATCGAAATAATCACTCTTACTACGTCTAGTACGTTGTTGTCCTGAAGGAATTAATTCCTTAAGCCCTACAAACCATAACTCTATCTCAGCCTTGTCCTTGCAGATCTATAATAGAAAAAAAATACATAAAATAAAGGACAATCAATGGATTTAAACATTTTATCAGTCTTACATTAACATAAACAGATAGAGAAGCAAAGTTATACTTACCAGATCAAGTGATCTTTCACCGTTATTATATAGAAGAGAAAATGATAAGTAATCTTTTTCGGGCCGCAAGTATCTTCTAAACACAGCCTATAAAGAAAAAAAAACATGTCAACCAGAAAAGGTTTATCTAATCTAACTATGTTCAAAGTAGTTATATTAAAACAAAACAATATTAATTACTTAACAGAACGGGATTGTTTGACTCACAGTTCTTTGTTCAGGGATAATCCTTGAAACTGAAGACAATTTTAGGTTCCTTTCTTCCGCGAGAGAACCAGATTAGTGTTGTTTCATCCTGTTATCAACACTAAAATTGAAATCATTCAAGCACATGAGATATTTCATAATAATAATAATAATCCTTACAGAAGCTTGAGCTACTACTGTAACTTCATTCTTATCTTACTATCACATATTTTCATGTATGCTTTCTTTGTCATGCTCTTTTTTTTTTCCTGTTGTTTGAAGCATTTCTATGTATATAACATATATTCTAGATCAGTGTGTAATTGTACATGGTATACAGGTAAAGCAGTTGTTTTCTTCTAATAAGTCTCCTTTCTCTTAAACACATGCCAACAAAGTTTAACCTAGCATACGCATTTCTATGGAAAAAAGAGAAAAAAAGGGGGTTTGGGTTTAGTTGGCATGTTTGCTCTAGAACTTTTCATGATTGGTAGGTTATCCCTTAAACCATTACTTTGCGTAAATTACCCGTAAATTTAACAGTGTTGCAGAGTGCCACCAAATCAATAACAACTAATAAACTTCAGGGGGAAACACATTCATACAAGTCATGTGAGCTCATACAAAGGAAGAGGTTGAACCTTTGGATGAAAATTGGAGCATGTTATGTCATGAGCATGGGGATATTTCATTCCAAAGTCTAAAATCATTCATCAATTTGGAAGCACTATACAACTTTCTATTAATTTCACGAGGTAATTTGCAACAATTTAAAGTTTACGAGGCAACTTGCTAATTCTGTTAAAATCAAGAGGCAAAAATGCCAACAACCAAAAAAGAAACAATTTGCACTTAGGAATAGCTCACCGGAGAAATTCTGAATGGGTACAACTTAGGCTTCCTTTTCCGGCAGTACTTGATTAACTGGGTACCTTTCTTCAAGGCAACAATTGCCTGCAAAGAGGGGAGATTATATTAGGACAAAATATGTAACTCCAGATCCTATACATATATATATGAAGCCCCAGATAAAATAAAGAGGATTTCCGAAAAACCAAATCTAAAGCTGAATTCTTTTCTATCAAAAAAAAAGAGAAAAGATCACTGTGTTGTATCTTTCTGATCCAAATTTCTTAATTTTGTGTCAAGTACTAACAAATCGATGCATTGTTATTGTTCAGGGGGCGTTTGGTACGCAGTAATCAGTAGGAATCATATTTTTGAGAAAGTAATTGGGGATAATATAATTCTTAAAAATAATACATTACTGTGTTTGATTTCATACAGAAATCTTTCTTAAATTCTCAAAAATATTATATTACTGTATTTAGTTGTGCATGAAAATGTTGTGAATTAAAAAAAAAACATATTCAATTCTACTTGGTTATCCTCCAACTAATTTCCTATCGTTTTCTTCAATTCCTCGTCGTTTATTGCCTATTATTGTGGATGACTCACACATTACTGCCGTTTAATTGGACAAGGACAAACAAATTTATTCCGAACACAGAGCTCTGCTCAGTGGTAGTCAGTCCTTCCCCTTTCTTTCGGTATAATCTCTCTTTC